CTTCACTTCTCTTTGTTAACTTCAAAACACAAAATGTCTTTCTTCCTTTTCTTTCTTTTCTTTTTCTTAATTTTACTTGCTACTTCACTCTACTTTTCATTTTTATCATGGTACATCAGAAACGGTTTTAAATTTTCCAAAGACTTGTGAATCTGCTAAAGGTGAATCGGTTGAACGAACTGTTCTTTTAACTGATGAAGAGAATCGAATAGAGTGTATGGAGTAAGTATAATTATTTTCATATTTAATCATTTTATTCAATAATTAACTAATTTTTTCTTTAAATTATTTACTTTAAAGGTATTTGACAGATCCTGCCTTGCCATTGAGTATTCAGCACATTCGTATGATGAGAATTTTACAAAATTTGCGTGATGCTCATTGGATCATTCCTACAGTTAATAATTTGTTGGGTAGGCTTCGATGGGTCATTCTAAATGATCTTGATTATGCTGTTGGAGATGTGAGTGATGATGATGATAATAATGATAATGTGAATGCTAATCCAGAGGAAAATGTCAATAATAATAATAATAATAATAATGATAATAACCATGGAAATTTGGGATTCGATTTTGATGCTTTCGATCGATTCGTAGATGCTAATCTCATGCGTATTATGGACCATAATGATGATGACAATAATAACAATAATAATGATAATGAAGATAATAATAATAATCAACCAGATATGGAAGAAGAATTACTTCGTTAAATTAAATAAAGAATATTAATTTGATAAAAAGTTTAATTCATTTTATTTTCATCTTTTAAATAACATAGTTCGCGAATGAAAATCATTCAAAGAAGAATCAATTTGAGGAATTTCTTTGGCCCCGGTTATTATAATTGAGCCTGTAGTATAATAAATAATTGTTACATTTTCTATTTTCATATAAATAGCAGGGTATATTTCGGGTTCATATTTAGTAACACTAGAAAAAGTTTTTATCAGATCACTCGAGTTAAATGCGTATGGAAGGAAACTATGAGCAGTAATATTAACGACTTTGATAAAAGTTACATTCCGATTTGTAAATATTTCTTGCAAAAGATAACCAGGTAATGTAACATCTTTAAACCCTGTTGCTGTTATTTTTCCAGACGCAAATACTAAAAACACACCACCATTTTTACGAATGACTTGAGCGTTAAATTTCTTCTTTCTACCAGAATTATCAATATTTATAACAACAGGTCCATCTAACTTCCACAAGGAAACAATATTGACGATTTTATATTTTAGTGAAGTTGTCTCTTCCATGATAAGATGAAGTATGAGGTAATGTTTTGTTAAGTACTTTCCATAGAGTTGTGAGTAATATTAGAATCGTTAATACCAATATCACTCTTTTATCATTATTTTCACCAGTTGATTCCATTCTTTATCTTGTTGAACAAGCTGATTAGTTGAAGTTGATGGTGAGGATATTTCTTTTGGAGTAGAATCAGCTTCTTCTATTTTGGCGATCTTTTTAGCACTTTCACTGTTGTATGTTTTGTCTTGAGATGGTAAATCGAATTCAGGTTGGATTAATAGTACGAAAGTATGTGGTTGGATTATCAATTGAGCGATCCGATCACCTTTTGATACAATATGATCACTTCCACCAAAATTGAAAAGTAGAACTTTGAGAGAGCCTTTATAATCTGGATCAATCACACCAGCACCAACAGTGATGAAATTATTCCAGGCTAATCCAGATCTCGGTAAGATATGGGCGAAGTGGTCGAAAGGTAGATCGATTATGATGTCAGTTTCAATCAGGTTTTTACCTTTAGCTGGTACTACTGTATCAACTGCACTGTAGAGGTCAAGTCCAGCTGAATGAGCTGTTCCACGAGTTGGAACGTGAGCGTTTTTAGAAACCTTTTGATATCGAATGTAAATAGACATAACGCAATATTCTTCAATGAATGAATGATTAAATAGAAAAATTCAACCTTTATACTTTTAAAATGTCCTGGAGATGACATTTGTATTAACTTGAACTAAAACCAGTTTTTTAGAGGTGGAGTAGAAATGATAGTGTTATTTCTATGACACTATCTACGCTGCGTGTTTTCATTTTTTGGAGTAGAAATGACAGAGGTATTTTCAGTACTGGGGTGGAAATGACAGTGAGATTTTAATGACTGGAGGAAATGGTAAAGGTATTTTTGGGACTGGGGTGGAAATGGTAAAGGTATTTTGGGACTGGGGTGGAAATGGCTTGGGGTGGAAATGGCAATGGAGGAGATGGGTATGGGTGAGAGATATACATTTTCCCTACTGATATGTAATAACTTTCAGGGTAAAGCTAAAAGTTACCTGAACTTTTCATGATTCATTCCCATTTAAAATCCCCATGAACCTGATAGTTAACATGGTTATCCAAATAATTTTGTATTTTCTTTTGGTAAATCAAATTTAATATTCATAAAATTTTTTTCTCCTTCATAAACATTTGAGCATCCGAAGATTCTGAGGAAAAGTTCAGCCTTATGAAAGTGTTCATCATGTGAGTTACTCCTCATTTTCATCACACTGATTTAGATTAATCTATTTTTAATTGTTGGCTGATTAAAGGGGAAGCTGATTAGGATTGTAATCTTGGTTGCTTAGCAATTAAGAGCAATTAGTGTGTTAATATGTGAGCAACTTGTTAATCATAATTAGAGGTTGACATGATTACTCTTAATCTCTGAATTCAGATCACAACTTTTTTATCCTTCTAATCATTCTGAACGACGATAAACTCAACTTGTGATCTGATTTTTTTTCTTCTATTTATTCAAAGAATCTGAGAATCAATTGTATGAGTTAATTAGTTGATCAATCACATGGAATTTCTTGTGTTTTCTTCGTTATCATGAAAAGTTTCCGATTCTTAGGAATTCCACTCAAGAAGAAAGTTCTCAATCACCCAATTTCCCATTCGAATGATCAAATTTCGCCATGGAATCGAATAGATTTTACCTGTGGTTTATTCTTGTATTGAACTTTTCTGAAAGAAAAATTGACTTTCATGTAAAAGAGAAAACATGAAATTATCATTTCATAGAAACTCGAAGGTGAATCAATGAGTTTAAAGACATTGGATAGAAACTCAACATGAATCATGATAATGTTGTGAGATATTATGATTCCAAACTGGGAGGATGAAGAAGGTGAAAAAAGAAGAAGAGAAAATAAGATTTTTGGAATTTCGATTGACATTGAATTTGACAACAAGAAGATGATTCTGATGAAGATGATAGAAGAAGATGTTCTCAAGAAAATGAGATGATCTTTCAAGTGTAAGAATTCTTGTAGAAAGGAAGCGAAAGAGAAGAGGAAAAAGATTAGACAGAAAAGCGAAAGAAGAGAAAAAAGAACATTCAGAGGAAAAAGTTCGAAAAGAAAAAATAAGAAAGAAGAAAAATTTGTGACAATATCATTCGTTCCAATCAGAATCTCTTCGAACAGATAATATAATATTGAGATAGAACTTTTTTTTTCTCTTCCAAAGTTTTCACTTTTTTCTCATTCCATTTTCTCTTACCTGTTCAATTCACAATCTAATAACTTATATCTAATAATAATAAAATAATATCATCATTATCATTATCGTTCTCATCATCATCATGCTCATGTAAGGCGACGAGACAGTTTTCATCATTATCATCATAGGAAGATAAGTAAAGAGGAAAAAAAATTTTCGAAAAGAAAAAGTTGAAACTTTTTTTTTGATTTTCTCTTTTACCATTGATACACCTGAAGGAATATCCTGATAATAATATTCACTTTCAAGGTTATTTCATGATGAGGAAAATCATCATCATGGTTATCCTTATGTCTCTCTCTCTCTCTCTCTCAGACTTTTTTTTTCATTAGAATGAACAAAAAGTTTCAAAATACATTAACAGTGATTCCAATTTTGAATCAAGAAACTGAATCAAAAATCATCACAAGGAATCAGCTCAACAATCAAGGGATTTTGATTGTTACAATTGATGAACTGATTGTATGAGGAAAATAAATTTGATACATTTATTGAGTTTAATCATTAATAACAATCAATATAAAAGTGTAATCAGTTTCTGATCATTTTGATGATGAAAAATTGACAGGGAAACAATTTAAGTTTCAATCAATTAAATTTGATTACTTGAAACATTAACATAAGTTTATTTAACTTTGTCTTTTTATCCTCAATTATGTTAAATTAAATTAAATTAATTTATCATCAAAACTTTTTTCCTTAATGATTATGTTATCATTGAACATTGACTCTCAACAGTTGCATTACTATTAAAGGTTAATTGTTGATGATTAGAAACAAATAATCATTAATCAAAGTAACATGTAATTTGAGAAACAACAAACATGGATCCTTAAAATAGACTCACCAGAATTTATCCTAAAGAGAAAAAGTCAGAATCAAATGCTAAGAATAATAATTGTTTCCAGAACGTTGCCATGGAAACCGAATGATAATAAAAAACATTCGAGAAAAAAAAAGTTCTAAAAAAACGAAAGACTCGAAAGTTATCATAATATTTATCATTAGTACTTTTAGTTTTCGTGATCAAAAGCTAACTGATCAAAGGTAAATTAAATTAAACAACTAAATTGTTGATGAAAGATTCAAGTGAAATCAACATAACTATTATCACAGCGAGAATAGAATTGATTATGATAATTAATTGTGAAAATATCAAACATAAATCATGATTAAAAGACGAGAAAAAAAAACTTTCTTCACAACCTATTATTAAATTAACTATTTGGTTGGCTAAATTGTTATTATGATTAGTATTGATTGATTAAATAGTCACCAAATTAAAAGGTAATTGTTCAAATTAAGGTGTAACTTGACTTGTTCATGTTGATCAAATTCACATATAATTGATTATATGAATTTATCAATTTACGATCCATTGATTTAAAAATGAACCATTTACATGTCAAAGTAATTAAGTTAATTGTTGTTGTTTTCTCCTGATCAACTAATTCATTTAAATTGACAATAACTCACGTTTATCACAATGATCACCGATATAATCGAGACCTCGACAATCACATTCAGCACCAGAATCGGTATTAATACAAGTCCCACCATGATTACATGGATCAGAATCTGAACAGGGTTCACTTGTATCACGACGGAGGCCATTCCACTTAATTGGTTCTTGTCGATGATGATTAATTGATGAAGATCCAGTGATTAAATTGTTATCATCTTCACTTTGGTAAATAATATTTTTAATTTGACCTGAAAGATGTAAAAAAAAACAAACGATTAACCAAATTGTAAACACTTTGTATTCAGAGATTGGATTTAATGTACACACACAATGTGATTTATTAACTTACGATAAGTTGATCAAGTTAATTATTAAATTAATTGCATTGATATTTTAGCAAATTAATCAAATTTTCACCTTAATAACAATGTAATTACTCAGAGTAAATATATTTTATTAATACTTTCGTAAGTTTTATTTTCATCTTGTTGTTTTTACTTCATCCTTAATCTCATGGGTAATCCATTAAGTGCTAATCTTATGGATTTGATTGATTTTTTTTCCTTCTCATCTTCCATTTTTTTGTTATCTTCATCATCTAGTGACTTTATTCTGGCTTCCATAAAGATGAAAATTCAACAAACAATGATGATGATAAATCTTTAGGATTTACCTGATGTTTTAACTACGAATTGAGAATCAATCTGACAATCAATTCATGGTACAATTACAATAGATATCAAGGTGAATCATATTAGTTTTGTTTTCTTTCCTCATCTCTGATTTAATATGAATTCTGATTGAAACCTTGTCTCTCTCTCTCTCTCTTGAAAAGTTACTTATCATCATCATGAATGATTGAAGTTATATATAAAAAGGTCCATTCAATATTATCCTTTGGCTCAAAGGAAGATGAAAATATGAACAAAGATGATGATGATAAGCTATCTTACCTCTGTATGTTGGTTCAAATAATATCCATGGAAGATGAAGATTGACAAATTCAGATGGATAACTGTTAACAGGAAATCCACCGATAAACAGGTAATCCATTTTAGTTGATTTTTCATGTTGATGGTCAGCTGATGGACGAAGACTCCTAATTGATGTTTCTCCATCAATCTGTCAACAAAATCAACGAAAAAAAAGACAATTCAATTGAAGCAATTAAAGATTCACAATAAAGTAAACATCAAACAAGAATGACAATTGAAAATTTAAATGGAAAATCCGAATCCTATTGCAATTACAATCTAATTGTTATCTAATCCTTGATGCTACAAGTTAATTTGTTTTAATTGTTATTTCTGTACAAAGGTTTATATTGAAATAATGATTAGCAAGCAATTTAACACTCAATTACAATCAATGATTTGTCACCCAAAGCCAAATTTTATCATGTAATTTTATCATAATATCAATTATGAATTTCCAATCCATCAGCTTAATCACTCTGATAAAACACTTTAAAGTTTTAAAGGTAACTACACTAATATCTAAAGTCTAAATTGAAAATAAGCCTCAGGCAATTTAGTTAGTCATCAAATATTTTACACGTTCAATTAAAGTTAATCAAGAGCAATATATTAACATCATCATCGTGACAGTACATTGACTTTCAACATGATTAACTGAAAGTTGAGATTCAATTTGATGGTTGAAACAAAATTCAAAACAAATCATGAAACCATGAACAAAAAGTAAATCATCATTAATAATCATCATTAGGTTTTGATTAAAAGTTGAAACTATTATATTGCTACATTGAATTATCATGAACATTATCAACAATAGTGAAAGAAAAAAAAATAAAAGCAAATTTAATCAATGAACATGATTATCATGATTATCATGATTATCATGGTGATCACAAGATGGAAGGTTAAATGTATTAATAAGCTGAAAAGGTAAGAATTTTTTTTTCTATCGCATTCTGATGACAGATTATCGTTGATTCCTGAATCCAATTCACATTCAATACATGAGAATTTTTTTCTCTTCATTCTCACCCTAAATTCAGTTGTCTCTGTGAATATAATTTCACCCAAGAAAGAGGAAAAGAAAGGGAAAGAACATAAAAAACATTATCTCATGCTAATAATAGGAACTGAATAATAATCATAATTGATAGTTGCGAGTTGCGAGTTGATGATTTGCGTGAAAAAAAAAATTCATACAGATCACACCCTGTATATGAATTAAGTTAAGGTAGAGGAGAAGAAAAAAAATTAGCAATCAATTCAGTGAATTGAGATGAGATTCTGATGAGAGGATAGATGAAGATGAGTAATCTGTAATTGAGTATTATCATCATCATGAAGATAATGATGATAATCATGATAATGAACCTGAACGAGATTGTGAATGAGACTTTACTATGGGATTGTAATCATTTCTCCCTCCATGAAACCTGGAACCGAGGGGGGAGGGAGACAGAGAAAATATGATTCCATGAAAAGGAAGATAATGATTCCTTGATGAAAGAGAGATAAAGTTTCAGTTTCATGATTCAATTATGAAATCAGCTCAATTGAATTCAAAATTGTTCATTAACTAATAGAAATCAACTGAATCAATCATGATGGATGTTAATTGTTTGGTGAATCTTTTTCTTTAGTCCAATTCCTGAGACTTTGTGATTCCAATGAATCAGAAAAAAAAAGATTCACCAAATTATCATTATCATCTTATAAAAAAAACATTATATTTAAGTGACATGATCATCATCATCATGGTGATTGTTGAGTATTCTGAATGAATGATTGATGATTTTTGTATCATTATTCATGTTCATTCATAATCACATCATGAAAGTAACTTGATAATATAACTATTAATACGTTTATAAGCATTTTCCCCCACCTCTCATAGGAATTTCCTATTTCTCTCACCATGATAATGAAAAGTTTTTTCTTTCTAAGATAATCATCAGAATTTTAATCAAAATTCATCAAAATTCTGGTCTCCATATAGATATTGAAGTTTATCTTTACCGATTCTCAGCACTAATTAACTTGATCATTAACTTTGGGTTACGGTTCATGTTGTCATCTTAATTAATATTGAGGTTGAATCAAGAAACAACTGATTACAATTAGAGTTCACAGTTTTATCTCCTCATGTTAATCATTCAGGGTGAAAGTTTAAGCCATTAGAAGAGGTTCATCAGGAGGGACTTGGTATGATAATATCGATAATGATTCTGTTTTGATTAGAAAAAAAATTCTGATTGAAATTCAATCATCAGAAAAAAAAAGATTTTCTCAACTTTTCCTGTTGATGTACAATCAATTAGTTCCGGTGTTGTATTAATAATTTATGAATCATATCATCAATTCAACAATGAACTTTCATGATTTAACAGGGGAAATGATTAAATTCGTATCTTTCCTCTCATTTGATAATATTATCATGTTCTTATCATTTTCCAATTGAAATTATTGTTAAATATTAATTTTAATCTATCAATTTTTTCAACTTCCTTTTTCCGGTTTAAATAACATGATTATGTCAAATCAAATTGATCAAATTGATCAAATTGATGTTTTCAGAAAAACATTTAGATTGTTGTTCATGTCATCATGTTGATTGTTATTCTCACCTTTAACATAAGTGATTCCTTGCTGATTATTATCTCAATTAGATGCCACTGATAATCATGCAAATTCCGGCCAATTGAAATTACTGAACTTCCGGATGTCAGATTGAATCTTAACCTTAAAACACCTTCAACAAGCTTTAACTCCATGTAATCACAACAATCAGATGATTGTGAGTAAAAAATGAGTGAATTAGGTTCATGGGTACGTATGGATAACGATAAATTTGGTAATTGTAATTGAGATGATGATTGGTGTTGATTACGATTGATAATCCAACTTTTAAATTGAGCAAATGAATTGAAAGTCCCTTGGAGATTAAGAATTGTCGATATTGGTGAGATTGATGTTGATTCAAGTGATGAATATGATAAAGATGATGATGAAGACGAAGATGACAATGATGATGATGGATTAAGATCGGTAAACTCAGGTAATCCATTGGTATAACTATTAAGATCAACATCATCAGAACTGGATGATGATGTTAATTGATTATTATTATCTTCATCCCGATTACTATTTGATGGCGATGATATTGTTAACTGTTGATCATCTGTGTTATAATTGATTGTTGAATCAATTTTCATCGGTTCATCATGTTGTTGTTGCTCGTAATTGTGGTGATGTTGATGATGACGGTGGTGTTGATATGATTCAATATAATTTATTGATTGTGTAAAAATTAATAGCAAAATGATGATGATAACGTGACTCGAAACATTTTGATAAAAATAATAATAATAGTAAAATCCGTGGGCTGATTTCATGTTTATTGATTGTTGATTGTTTGCTGATCAAGACTTGTAACCAACAGGTATATATATTATTATATAACTGAATTAACTATCAAAAAATTAATACACAAAAATAATAAAAGGTAAACAGTTAATGATTAACACACACAACGAGTATAAGTAAACAATTAAAAAGACGCACACAAACAAACAGGGACACAATCAATTGATTAGTGTTATCATTAGATAATTAAGTTATCAAGTGATGATATTGATTTGATAATAATAGATTAAATTTTTCCGATGATTTAATTTGATTGTATAACAATTAATATCACTTGTTTTATGATTAAAGCTGATTGTTGGAAGCACCAGAAAAAGTTAGTTATGTGATTTGAAATTACAATTCAATGAAATTTTCATTGGTTAATTGTTGATAAATCTGTGGATAGAATTAAATTTAATTGTTATCTAATCATGGTTATGAAAGTAATTACAATAATCGTCAATATCTAGCATCATCAATCGTCATCAAGCAATAACATTGGTGAAGATAAAGGTTGTAAGTTGATGAGGATGAAGATGAAGATGGGAAACGGAAATGATGTCAATTATTAAGAAACAAACGGATGAGGTGATAAAAGGTAATGAGTTTTGTTTTGTTTTGTTTTTCTCATTCAATCTAAATGATGGGAACGATAAAAGATGATGACAAGGAAGATGAAGAGGATTTAACATGATGAAATGCTCAAGAAGTCAAGTTAATACAACTAAATGTAAATGGAAGATGAAATTCAGAGGAAAAGGTTACATATTAATGAGAGGAAAATGAGAAACTTTTTTTTGTTCAGGTAACAATTGTACTTACCTTGTGTCTTTCATGATGAATCTCAGAACCAATGGAATCACCATTGAAGATGATGAAGTTTCTTGTCCACAAATATCAAGGTAAACAAACAAATACAGTTGAGTTAATGGACACTGATGATAATATATATCATGTAATGGTAATAATATCAAATCAATTACTCGTTTTCATCTTAATCAGATTTTTTTTTCATCTTCCTCTTTTGTATCACTTTTTTTTCATCCTCATCCTTTAGTATTTAATCAAACCTTTTTGTTCATCACTTTTTGGTCATCTATTCAATCTCATTTTGTACATTATGGTGATGATAAAGAAGATGATGATAAAACTAACGGTAAATTATTTTTTTTGTCTCTCTCTTTTTCTCGTCTTCTAATTGATTTTGGATTTCAATTTGATTTGATTTTCACTTGGATTCTTAATCTTAATCAAGTAATAATAATGTTAAATTGTAATTGAAAGATGATTATGACGATGATCATGTTATATTACTATTATCTATTTTTCTCTCTCATTTTCATCTTCTTGTTATCATCATTTTCTTTTACTATTTACTATCGCTTTTCATTCAGAATAACAAAGTTTTACGATAATACTTGATTCTGTTGCATTTGCAACTCAACTGAACTGATGAAGGAAATAAGAGAGAGAGAGTGAGAGGGTGAGTGAGTGAGTGAGTGGGAGAGGAAGATTGAGTGATGATGAAAAAGGTTTCTTTGGAAGAATATTATATTGGGAGTTAAAGTGGGAGTGAGAAAAGTTCTAACCAAAAGGAATCGATGAAAACATGGGTTATTATGCTCAAGCTCACTGAGATTCGAACATTTTCAAGCAAAAGGAAGATAATGATAGGGATGAAAAGAGAGAGATGATGATGATAAGGAAGACAAGATGATAGGAAAGACTGTCTTCTACCTGAATTGAATGTCCATGACAATATCGACTGAGAATTTTTCTTTTCTCTTCATCATCATTCATCTTCTTTTTCCTTCTTTTTCTCATCATACTAGTCTACCTTTTAGAGATATTATCGTCATCATCTTCTTCATCCTCTGTATCCTTTTGTTAATATCAAATCATCTGACTTATTGTCTTCCCGTTTTTTTGTCATTAGCTTCTGTATTTACCTAACAGAAGCTTTAAAACATGAGGATGATAATGATGATAATATTCATCTTTAGGCTTAATCTATTGTTTTTTTTCTTCTAAAATTTTGTCATTTTATCTTCATTTTGAAGTTTGTTCATTTCAATGATGATGATATCTCATGACTCCCAATTGTATCATCGGTTTTGTATCAAATAAAAAGCTTCTAATACAATCATCTTGTCATTTTCATCATTATCATCATTAAGATGACCATCAACAATAACAATGGTTCAGGAAAGTTCAGTTTGTTCAGATTCATGTTAGTGTTTCAAAGTTTCCTTTCAGGTGAAGACAAGTGGTGATAACTTTTTATCTCATCATTTTACCTGAAAGAATCTTTGACAACATCATCATGATGATGATTAACGATTTTAGATGATGAAATTTTCTAAAACAAACTCGATGAGAAAACGATTTTTTTCTTCTCCTTTTCTTCTTCAATGACTTTGATTAAAAAGTTCCACGTTCGATTGATTATTGAACTGTTTCAATCCAGATCATGGCTCTAAAGTACATGTGTTTGAATATTCACCATTATCATGATAAGCTCCATGATTATCAAAAGGTAAACACTCAGAATATTTATCGTTTTTTTTTAATCTTCTAGATCATTTCATTTGAATCTATCGTTGAAATGGTAACAATAAAACTTCGAGAACTTATTAATTTATTTGTTCTTATTCAATTCGATATTTTTTGTTTTCCTCTATTCTAATATTCATTTGAAAGGTTCTCATATTATTCAGCAAATTACGAATTTAATTTTAAGAAGAATAAAAGTTCTACTAAATAACAAAAGGTAAATGATTCGAAAGTTGAACCGTTGAAGTTCACGAATTCATCACAAAATTTGAATTCGTTGGTGATAATTTTTCAGTTTCAGGGAGAAATGATTCAAATTCCAAGACTTTTATTATTGGCAAAATCCTGAAGCGACGATGAATATGAGTTCTTGTATATTCATACTGAGAATCGTTGACAGATAAACAAATTTAGTCAATAAATTGAAGATAAAACTTAAAGAACTATTAAAGAAATATTAATATTATGAAAAAAAAGAAAACATTGCAAAGAGAATAACTAAATTTATATTAATTCTCATCATCATTTTCCAAATGAAGATAAATTCATATGAGAAATTAATTAAGAAATGAAACAAAAAGATGAAATAATATATAAGTAATCAATGAATTTGAACCACGATTGATTTCTCACAATCAACTAATTGCTACTGCTCAATGTGTTATTGCTAAACAACAATTGGTGTTTGCTATTGCAAATGCTATGACAAGTTAATTGTGATTATTATGATCACGATTTATTGATTGTTATCAACATGTTATTGAGTTTTATTTACAATCAGATCTAGAAAATGGTTTCTAACTTTATCTACAAGTTTTAAAATTAATCTCATGATAATAATTGTTTGATGATTAAATTTTGCCTTTTAATCATATTAATTAATTACCATTGAGAATTTAAATTTTCTCTGGTTTTATATTGTTAATTATATTTAATTTGTTAATGAGTTGATCATCATTATCAACTATTAATACATAATTACAGCCTAATGGGATGTTAATCAAAGTGATAAATAATCAAGAATAAAAATCAACACCCAATTGATATAAAAATTTGTACAATTAAAAATTTCTGTTAATAGCTTATGCGTTTGAAGACATAACAATTATTAATAGTTTGATTAGTTGAAGGCTATTCGATAACATGATTTTGAATGGCCTGGATTAGCGTTAATTCGGGGACCTTTCATTGATTAGAATCAAAGTTTTCTTTTAATTAGTTACAACTGTAGCCCGCATCTTCATTGCATTCAATTCAATTTAGACAGAATTGGAAAATGATTGACATTTGATTGGGTAAACAATTTATCTGATAAAATTTAATCGCTTCTCATCAAAAAGTAATTGTCACCAATTCAAATAATCCACTGAATTATCATGAAAGCCCTATGATTACATCAGATGATTTCAGCATAAATTTTTTTCCTGTAATGTAAACATTTGGCTCTCATCATGTACATAAATCTGATTATTATTTGATGATTTGATTTTTTTAGGTAATTCACTTTAGAAACATTCATGATACTTGCATGATGATGATAGAAGGGATGAGAAGGGTGGAAATTGACGAAAAATGAATTAGTTATTCTTGAAGAAATTCACTCTGCTGGTGAAGAAGGGAAAATAAGTTCATCAAGACAAAAGTACCTTGGGATTGGATGTAAAAGAAGTTGATGAAAACTAAGTTTGTTTTCAAGAGAAACTACCAAATGATAGTGAAGATGGAGATGATTGAAGAGAGAGAGAGAGAGAGAGAGAGAGAGAGAGAGAGAGAGAGAGAGAGAGAGAGAGAGAGAGGTTAAGTCTAATGCTGGAAGATTTTTCATCTTCTCAGTGGAAGACATTTCAATGTGAATTTGAATAAACATTCCCATGTTTCAGTGAATGTAAATAAGTTGTAGCAACTAAGGTTTATATTCATCTCATATGAATATACTGATTGATGAATTGGAAGATGAAATTATTATATTACTGAACTTTTTAACTCATTTGGTTCGAGTGACAAGTTAATTGTTTTCACTTTTGATAATCTCTGATAATAATTTCCAATCAAGTTACAATTAGCGACTATTTTTCGGTTTGAATTTGAACTGTTCCTGTAAAATTTACATTCTTGAGGATAATATTTCTGGTTTAAATATCATAACTATTTAGTGAGAATTAAATTATGAATAATTCACTGAATTCTGAGTTTGAAAAGTTATCAATAACATTATAATCTCATTTGTATCCTAATCTACCTTAAAATAATCATGATGATAAACATATTTGGTACCTGAAATAGTTGCTTCATTGAATCAGATTCTCAGAATTTTACTTTACCATGAAAGGAAATGTTTACATGAAACCGTAACACTTTCATGTAATATCTTGAAGGTTTTGGTGTGAAAATGTCTTGTTAATGGAAATGATTTCAAACTCTGATCATGATTGAAGTCACAAAAAAGACTGAATTAACTGTAATAATAATAACTGTTACATTAGAACATTATTATTAACATGAAGATGGAAATGAAATGAGTTCATCAGGAATGAAACTATTCACAGAGAAATCAAAATTTAGTCATATGCATTAATATTGTTTGAAATTAGGAATGAAAATGATTAACATGATTATCATGGTAAATTGTGAGGTGATAAAAAATCCTTTTCAATTCAAAGTCAATCTAAATGTAATTACATTTAGATTTGCTCCCATCATGAATCCATTTCATCCCAGAATCTGTATGAATGAAAAGACAAAAATCCCTCGTAAACAAATCATATCTCAATCAAATTTTCAACTCAATCAACTATAATTAAAATCAACTAAATTATAATGATAACAGTTTTCACTCCCTTCTCAATATTATCAATACAATTGTAAATAATTTAACCCAAGTATCTTTAATGTTGATATAACATTATCACCTTTTGATTATATCATTGAAGCAATAAAAACAATAAGATTTTTGTTACTTTGATCATTCAAGACAAAACAAAAGGTTGAAATGATTTGATGGTCAGTTTTATACTACCTACAAGTCTGGGAAACTTTTATCCTCTGGTCATTTTCATGATGATCCGGAAGAAAACTGAATTCTGTGAACTTCCAGGTAGATGAGAGAGAGAGAGAGAGGATGGAAAAGATTGAAGGAAAATTTTTCCGATTTTTATGGTTTCGAGATTATTTTTATGTTTCTGTGATTTAACCCATTTCATGATAATGTTTCAAATGATTTGATATAAAAACAACAACATGTGAACATGAACAACAACCATGAATAAAGTGAAATAATTCTGGAAACAGTTATAAACCTCATTTAACCTCACTTATCCAGTTATCGTACTTTTTTTCACTTTATATCAACTTTTGTTTTCCTATTTCCACCCACTTACCTTTTCAACTTTAATGATTATAATTTTCACTCTCATCATCATCTTTTTTCATGATGACTTTGAACTTTTAATGTTCAATGAAATCTTGAAATCACAATCACATAAAATAAATATATAAATACAATTCTCTAAATTTGAACAGTTCATATATATCGTGATTGTACTGAATCGCAGATATTACATGATTGCTACATGAATTTTCCCTTGGGATAAACGATCAAGAGATTATATTTCTGTTCTTGATTAGTGAAAATAAACAATCTCAGTTAATCCCCATTGGAATCAGATTCTTTCATCATCATAATCATGATGATTCAGGTGCTAAGAGAGAGAGAGAGAGAACGAAAATTAAGTGTAACAATTGGAAGAATTGAAAATTCAAATATCCGATTAAAGGTTAAAATAATTGATCGTTATTAATGTTTTCCTATGTTTTTATCATTTATATTTATTATTTTATGAGAATATCAAATTCATTGGTAATCAGAAATGTTCACAAGCCTGAGATTTTCATGTAGATTAAGATTGTTTATTTTTACTTTTCCCATCAGAATTATCAGAACTTTTTTCCCTTTCTTATTCAAATTGTATTGTAAACACCATTCACAAAGAAACAAACATTGTATCAAATTGTCAACGATAAATTGTTCATGATAATAATAATTTCCCTTTTCTATTGTTACTATTAATACATTATCATCTTAATCTTTCACCTCAATGAAAAGTTTCAAGTTTATCTGAATAGAAACTGAATTAACATTTATCATGATCAACAAAGAAAAAGTCACTGATAAACTCGTTAAGATGAATCTTGAGTGATGATAATGATGATGAGAGAGATCTCAGAATGATGATACAATAAACATGAGTAATAACTGTAAATTTCGGTGGAAATAATTAACACAATTTAGAAGATGAAACGAAAAAGTTTCGACTTGGAACAATTAAATTTTTTTCCAATGCTGTTAATTGAACCTTCTTATTTTATATTAGCTTTTTTTTTAATTTAGTTGTAACATTAGGAGTTTATTAATCACATGAGATGTAAATTGTAACATGAAAGTGGTGAAAAGTTTAAATGTTTAATCATCAAGTCACATTGAACTTTCCATGAATTCATTTGTTCTGAATGTGATTAACTTGATTGTAGATTGTGAATAGATCAACATGAAGATAAACATCAACAACATTATGATTCAAGTGATTAAAAGTGATTAGGGTAAAAATGACCTGGAATCAGATGATTATGAGGATAAGGAAGATTAAGAATAATAAGTTTTGGTTTTTTTTCTTCTTCTTCTTCCTGTTCAGAGTAAAATTACTGCTGAGTTAATGTTCTGGATTGAGATGAATTCTGAATAGATTCTGATATAATAATAACAATGTTCTGGTTGAGATTCTGTGTTGGGAATCACGTGGCTTAAGGTCTGAGAAAGAAAATGATGAGGATGCTAAAGGGATGAAGATAAACATGAAGATGAGAAGATTGAAAAGGACAAAAGGTAGATAACATTTTTAAGGTTCATCTCCAGCTAAATGGAAAGGATTATCAGACATAATGGTTCTTAGATTGGAAAAGAATATTTTCTTTTAGCATCTTTGTCTTCTCTCTCTTCCCACTCTCTCTCTCTCTCTCTCTCTCTCTCTCTCTCTCTTTCTTTCTTGCTCTTCATTTTCAATCATCATCATTATCTTCATCATCCAACTGTCTCCCTCTCCCTCTTTCTCCTTTATTTATCAAACCAAAAGCAATCACTTTGACTCAGTTCAATGAAATTAACTCACGAGATTTACGCCAATAGCCTTAGGGCATAATATAAGAAATTTGGAATCATATTGACTTACTTAAGGGAGAGTCATCTTTTTATCCTCATCTCTAATCATCTTTTTTACTTGTCTGTGTTTACTCATCTTGTTTCATTCTAAGTATTATTCAATACATCAGATTGGAATGATGAACATGATGATGATGATGAGATTCTTAAAATCAATAATAATGCCTCAAATTGTCATCTTCATCCCTTAGCAATAATCATCATTTGGGTAAATTTTTTTCTCCTTCAAAAGTAAACTTTGTCTTCGGATGGAAATGAAAAAACTCCCAGATATATTATGTAGCATTTATAATGAAGATTCAATGTATCGGATAATAATGGTTATATTATTATCGAATTTAATTTAATGAGTTTTCATTAGTTTAATCAACTTTTTATTGCTCTCCAATGAATCAAATTGAATATTGGAAAGGTTGACCATTTACACCAACAATCAATGAGACCAGTGACAATAAATATCAATGATATAAGCAATTGATTAATTAGAAAGATCAATTAGAGTCTGATGAATGGAAAAGACAAGAAATGGAAAAATCAAAAAGTTAACGGTAAAAGATTTAGAAAGAAAAATCAGTAATGGTGGAAAACTGTTCCGGTCAACTACAGATGATATTGACCCTAACTTGAGGTGAATGATGATCTCGAAAATTTAAAAGGTCCACAAGTGAAAAATGGGTTAGCATGTCTCACGAAATTGGTGATGAATAAATGGTTTTTTTTTCATCTTTTCCTTTTCCTATTTCACTTCCATCACTCCCATTTCCACTCCCACTCCAACAAACACCACCACCGCCACCACCATCATCAACAACAACAACAACGACCATTATTATCATTATAACTTTCGATATTATTTCAAACTTTGCTCTTGGATTTTCCTCTCTCACTCTTGAACAACAAGAAACTCAATCAATTGGAAAGAATTGGAAGATCAAAGGAGAAAACATTATAATGTGTATTAACAATGATTATGATGATGGTCATCATCATGATGACCCCTGGGTCAGTGTGAAGTTGAAAGAAGTGACTTTTACAAGTGGATAACTTTATTTTTGTTTTACTCGCTATTTTTTTCCTTATAATGTAATCTAATATAAAAAGAGTATTAGAACTTTTTTTTTCATCCAACTCTGATTCTGGAACTTTTTTCTCTTCTTTCATTTTCCAAGCCAATCCCTTTTCCACCACCCACTTTTCATGATTCTCTCTAAATTCTGGTTATATTGTTATAACTTTCTCTCTCTATCTATCTATCTGAAAAGCTCCTGTTAACCACCTTTGATTGACTCTAATCAACAACGATCAACAGTAATCATCTTCACATGGAAAATGAATCAACCAACTGATCCATGAAAATATATTTATGCTCATGGATATTTTAGTTATCATCTATTTAGGCTCATGGTTATCATGTAAATCACCTTGAAAATCCTAATGGATGAAAAACTTTAAGTTCAGTCAATGTTCAGATCTAATTAGGTTCATGGTGGTTCGGACAATTTTTCAGGGAAATGGTCAGAATTTCACTATTTCTGTCTCAATTTTAAATTCTAGATTAAATCTATATTGTTTATTTAACTTTATCATTTGATAAATATTAATAATCTTTACTAATTTGCCTCCGGCCATTTGATAATATTAACTTTCTTAATATCTATTTTCATTTCTCGTTTCAACTTATCAACAACTTTTTCATAAGTTAATAGTAATTTATTACCATACCCTGAACTTTATATTACCAAACACTGAATGTAAATTATTACAATTCATTCATAATTAATAAACTATTAAAGATGAAAATCAATTTAAACATGAGAGTAAATCCTTCAATCCACTTTAATAATACAATAGTTTTCCCCATATTACTTAACCTCCCACTCTCACCACCTTAGGCAATTGATTGTTAATAAATGATAAAGCTTAAGTCTTTATCATTATGATGAGAAATTTATTGATTCAGTGATTTAATTTAAAGTCTCAATTGTTCATCTAATTTGATTTATTAAAAGTTTCATTTGTGAACAAATTTCCATCCAGTTTACCTTAGAGTTTCAGTCAAAACATACCATTAATATTGAACATATTAACATGACTAGAATTCAATGTTCAATAATCAATTTATACAAGATAATTGATTTAATTGTTTACTCATTTTAATTTGATTCAAATTTTCATTCAGTTAATTTTGAGTTGATCTGATTTCGTTTATGGGACAACAGCGCCACCTCTTGGATTCGATGTCAAGTTTGATTGGCTTTCTAATCATTTGGTTTCTTGTTGATTGTTTGTTTATTGTTACTTGATTTTAATTCTAATTGTTACTAATGAAAAGTTGACTTTAATTGTGATTTAATTAAGTTAATTCGTTAATTATAACCTGTGGTGATCAACGGGGATCGATAATTTTTCTTCCTATTAATTTGTGATCATGTTTATTTCTACTTGATATTTGTTGGTGTTTCTATTGGTGATTATGTCTCTCTTATTGAAGAGACAGATGATTGTTTTTCTTTACTCATTATCCTGATTGTTAAATTTAATTGGGATAATTAAGGCTTATAAGTCTAATTATACTATGATTTTGGTAAATATGAATTGACAAATTTAATCTGATTGCCTAAATTCATATTCCAATTGATGGTGAGTTTTGTTGATTTGTTTTGAGTTTTTCGTTTTTAACTTGTCGCTTTGTTTTTATTATTCTTATGCTTTCAATTTAATTATTTCTTAAACATATTCTCAATCATTGTTATGTTTTTATTGATTAAATGTTCATTTTTCTCAAGTACTGGAATATGAAATGAGATAAAATGATTAAGAATATTGTGATTTGTAGATTTTACATTTTATTCATCAAATTGTTCATTTTACTGCAATTATTTAATTCAAGTATTTTCTCCCCCTTTCAGATGATCAGAAAGACCTAAAAACAAGGTAACCTAATTTAGATTGATACACAAATGATGTTTCATTTAATATCAGTGATGGATTAGATGATTTGGCGAGATGCAATCAACAATTACGTTAAAATTGATTACAATTCAGGTTCGTCATTTACTATTTTTGTTAATTCTTTAATCTAAATGGTTGCGATCAGCTGTTGCTGTTTCATTTCGGCTTTTCAAATGAACATTTCAACTCAATGTGTTCAATTTTAAGGTTTTTTTTTAATTTTTTTGCGTTATTTAGATATTTAAGACAATTATCTGTAGGAATTGATTATAATACATTGAATTTATAAGCTGGTTGTAAGGTATTAAGCAAAAGGAAGTAGAGAGAGTGAAGGAGTGAGAGAGAGAGATGATGAGTTACAAATACAGATGATTTTTTTTTCAAATGAAAATACTGAAGAAACGATTCCATGTGAGATGATTAATTGTGAGATTATCCTGTGAAAAGCTCAATGAAAGGATGAAAGATGACAATGAAGTGACGAAGGCAACAGTTTTAACTGGTTAGATAATCTTTTTTTTTTGTCAGCGATTAATATTCAGCATCCGAATCATTTTTTTTTGTGAATAGCCAATTCTAGTTGAATGAATCCATTTTGAATGTTCAATTGGTTATGTTTTAAATTAATTTGGTTCGTTTTATTATTTACAAACTCATCTCGTACATAAACTTATCTTATGAACAATTTCTAAATCCTTATAAAGATCTTTAATTATGTTTTTAAAGGTGAAAGTATCTTGTTCAACTTTAACTGGGTCAGGGTCAAGCCCATACTCTCTTTCTAATTCATTTACTTTAGATTCGAGAAGATCTAATCTCTTTTCCAGTCGATTTTGAATATCCAGTATATGGTCGATTAAATTTTGTCGACAAATAGCTTGATGATCATCTTCTACTGTCCCTGAACAAACAGATGAAAAGAAAACGAGAGAGAAAAATATATAAACAATTAGAACTCTTTAAAATTGTCTTAATGTTGTAATGTTTCACTTACCTTCTTTAATTGCTGTTTCATGATGATGATTAATATTCACTTCCATTTTAATTGTTGAATTAAAAGCCTTTTCTGAGTCAAAACTAGAATCTATTGTTGGTATTCTTGGAGTCAAATGATCACCGCCAAGTGATAGAATAGGTTTAATATCTAATGAATCTGATTTTGTTTCTTGTTTGGGTAACAATTGATCTTGACAATTAGTAATCATTTCCTCACAATCCATTGGTTCATCTTTAACTAACTGAAAATCTGGTCCATTGCTAGGGTTTAATTTAGATGTTTCTTCGGTTAATTGTGATGATGTTAGATTGGTCACATGGTTAATTGATTCTTCCTCCTTGATTCCATTTAATTCACCATAAGATGATGCAATAAAATCAATTAAATCAGTTCCTTCAGCAATCTCATTCTCAAGATCATCAGGAACATCATTTTTATCTTGATCAGTTGGAACTGTTTCCAGAATGTTTTTCGAAAAGTCCAATATATCGTTAATCATATCGTTCTCATTTGCTTTCAATGTAGCAAAATCATTTTGAACAATATCTTGTTGCGTCGAAATTATTTTTGACTCTTTAGGTGTAACCCAGGAACTATTCCAAGCACTTAGATCAATACTTTTAGAATCTACCATTGCTATTTTTCGTTTCAAGTCATGTATAACATTTACTACTTCTAATGCAGCGCTTAACAGTTGATTAGTTGTCATGATCTTTTTCTTGTTAAGTAGAGCATCTGAAGAATTGATTTTATTTAAATATTGACTGTCTCCAGGTAGAACAGGTAGTGAACCATTTCTCAACCAAGTCCAATCATAATTATATCGAGATTTTTCACGACATCCACGAGGATTTTTGCATATGAAACAAACGTAGACTTCAGGAAGATCTTTCTCTGATTTGATTCCAAGGCATGAACCATGTTGCCAAGTTAGACAACATTCGCATTGAACCATTAGACCAGATTCTTTTCTTAAATCACAGATACAATTGACCAATTCATCGACATCATCACTTTCGTGAATTTCTCGTATAGTTCGAGGATCACTAAATGGAAGAACAGAATTTGGAATAGGATTGGATTCATCTAACATCAACATTGATGGTGAAACACTTGAAACCTTTTCAACAATTCGCAATTTATTTGATTTGTTTAACTCGCTGTTGAACCGGATAAAGTCAGTTGATGCTTCCAGTAGTTCAGATTTTCTTTTACGTCCTCTCTTTTTACCAGTCGTAGTTGGTGGTGGTGGTGGTGGTGGTTGGGTGATTGGTTGATTATTGTGATCGGATGGACGAGAATGTGAATCCTTTCTCTTTGTCGGTAAAGGAGTGAGAGGAGGAAGAGGTGGATGTGTATCTTTACCAATTGGTGAGGGACTGAATAGAGTCACTGGTGAATTTGACGTATTTAATTCACATGGCACTTGTAGTTCCAAGGGCATATATACATTGAAATTACTTTTTAAATGTGTATCAGGAGTGGTTTTGAACGGAGTTGATGTCTCTAAATTGTTTGACAATGGATTAGTCTGTTTTCCAGTATTACTTTTAGATTTACTACTAGATTTAGTTGATGACTTTTGGCTGGTGACAGTGCCTTCTTTATTTACAGTTGACGATTTTTGTTGGTCATTTTTAACTTTTTTACTTTTTGATGAGCTTTTACTAGTTGGTTCTTTAACTGGTGTTGTTGGTGTGACTGTAGCTGCCACTGTTGGTGATGGTAATGATGCTGGTGGTGTTTTTAATGGCGTTTGCACTACTGGTAAAGATTTAGGTGTTTCTATTATTTTAATTGGAAGTTGGTTATTGGTTTTAGATGAATTATTTTCTGATTTTGGTGTAGATTTTGTGGGAATTGATGATGTTGGTGGTTTAGGTGATTTTGGTGGTTTTGATGGAGTTGGTGGTGATGGTTGTTTTCTTTTAGGGGGTCGAGCTAATTCAGGATGATAGTGTTTCAAATGTCCAGATAAAGTTTTTTCTTTTCTAAATGCTTTTGTACAATTTTCAGCTGGACATTTAAAATGATTGTGATCCTCTTCAATGAAAAACTCTTTCTTTGGATGTGGTAATACTGGAACTAAGGAGACTTCCATTTTAGGAGTTTTATCATTAGTAGATTGAACTGGAGTAGCCAATTTGACCATAGAATGTTTTTCTGGTGGTTTAGTTGGTGTTGCTAATGTAATTGGAACTTGTTTTTCATCACCTTTATCCACTCTCATCGGTGATTTTTGTTTAATTGTAGATTTCACTTCCTCTTGATTGCTAGTAGTTGTGAGCTCGCTACTTAAAATAGGTTTATTTTTCTGGTCATTTGTTGTTAATGATTTGCTTTGAAACTGTTCACCCAATGTCGCCTTAGGTTCCTCTTGTAGTCTTGCTAAGAGATCTTTATCCTCTTTATCCTTTTTTTCCTCCTTTTCCTCCTTTTCCTTGTTTTTGGCCGTTAAATTTGCCAAGATATTTTGTTTGTGTGAAGATTTTGATGGTGTTTTGATATTCGGTTCGACTGTTGTACCAATTTTAAGTTTCTCTTGACTTTTACTCGGCTGTTTACTTTTAACTGGCTGTTCGGTTTCACTTGGTTTCGGTGAATCCTCTGATTTAGTTGAAGGCGGTTTGCTTTGTCTCTTTGGTGGTGCTAATTCAGGATGATAGTGTTTCAAATGTCCAGATAAAGCTTTTTCTTTCCTAAATGCTTTTGTACAATTTTCTGCCGGACATTTAAAATGATTGTGATCCTCTTCAATGAAAAATTCTTTCTTTGGTAACACTGGAACTAATGAAACCTCCATCTTGGGTGTCCTATCATTCTCAGTTTGAATTGGAATAGTTGTATCAACCACAGTCTGTTGAATAGCTTTAGATGGTTTACTTGGTGATATAAGAGCAACGGGAAATTCTTTCTTCTCATAATCCTCTGGAAGTGGTTCCATATACTTTTGCTTAACCTTCTTCCGATAACCATCATAAAGATAACATTATACGCACCATCGGGAAAATAACTGGCAACCACTCCTGGATAATCTTTACCATCTGACCATCGAGCTAAAACTCTCTCACCTATCTTATATTTGAAAACAGGCGGTGGAGTATCATTGTTACTTTCTGGAGCACTCATCAGGATGTTGGTATAACAAAATCTGATGATAATGATGGTGGTGGATGGAAAGATGGATGGTGTGTCTCTCTCTCTCTCTCTTCTTCTTCTTTCTCAACCTCTCTCTCTCTTCTTTCTCTCTTCTCTCCTCTCTCTTTTGGGTGGCAACTATTAATGACAACAATGTGATTCCAAGTATAAATGAAAATGAAACAAAAAAATAAATGGTTAGTCTACAATTTATATTAAAACAAATATAATTAACAAAAAGAAAAACAAAATAAGGTAAAAATTAATCAATCAGATCACACATTGTATTAAGTTACTATTGTAAATCCATTTTCTTGAAGCCTTTGTGAGTGTGTTGGATCAACTCTTGGAGACTTGAATCCAAGATCAAAGCTTACAAAATGAGAGAGAGAAACGCCCACCAGGGCTTGGTTAGAATCGTCATAATAAGAGAAGCGCCAAATTTGAATTTGAATTTTCTTTTCTTTTTTCATTTCCACTCATTCATATTCTCCACTGATTTGAGATTCATTTTTATTCTTCTTATTATTTGTAATACAATTTCAATGATTAAGTTTATCTGCGGTTTTTTTTTCGCAATTACTCTGAGTTTAGAGTTGGATGTTTAGGTGATTGAACAAAATGGAAATTGAAAATTGAAATTGAGTTTGACTAAAAATTAGAAGAAAAAGAATCCACCAGGTGGAGCTTTTTCTTTCTGTTTTTCGCTTTAACCTCTTGATTGTTTTTATGTTTTTCTGTTTTTCTGATAAATGTAAATATTTTTTGTCTCGTTGTTGTTGTTTGATTCAATCAATTGATTTTGTTGATTAGGTGTTAATGTTGTTATCGTTTTTCATTTTTCTCACCTTTACAGTGAACAATTAACTGAGATAACTATTTCTCTTTTGGACAATTTATCTTAATTGATAAGCAACAATCAACTGTTTTCCTCTCCTTTATTTCCCTTCATCGGCTTTTTTTTTCATTTCATTGGAAAATCTCATCTTTTTAATTGTATGATATGTCCAAATTACGCAAGGAAAGAATTGCATCTAATTTAAATGAAGAAGAAGTCGCCGAAGCCATGAGGATGGCTAATTATGCTGATATCATACGACAATTAGATCATTTCTATGGACAAGGTAAATAAAAAATTGAACATTTTACTCTCTTGGTTTTTCTTACCTTTTCCTTGGTGTTAACATTCATCTTATTTTCATCATCTTTTTTTCTGTTTACCTTTTAATTGTTGTCACCTCATCTTCTTCTCAAACGCCATTTCAACCTTTTCTATCCTTTACATTTACTCAACTTTCTTTTGTTTTTCTTTTGTTTTTCTCTTCAGTTAAAAGGCAACTTCTGCAATTCCAATCACCAACTAGTGGATTATTTCCTCGATTATCATCTGAACTACGTGAAGCTCATGTTAGAGATACTCTTTATTGTTCAACTGCCATTTGGGCTCTTTATCAAGCTTACACTAAACGAATCGACGATGATAATGGTAAAGCTTACGAACTTGGTCAGTCTGTTGTTAAATGTATGCGAGGTATTTTATTTGCTTGGATGAGACAATCCAAGGATAAGGTTGAAATGTTCAAAACAAATCAGAATCCTGGTCATGCGATACACTCAAAATTTGATCTAAACACCGGTTTACCTTTAACCGATTGTCCAAATTATGGTCATCTTCAAATCGACGTTGTCTCATTATACCTTCTTCTACTTGTACAAATGATTTCTTCTGGTCTTCAAATAATTTACACTATGGATGAAGTTAATTTTGTTCAGAATCTTGTCTATTACGTTGAAAGAGCTTACAGAACTCCTGATTTTGGTATGTGGGAACGTGGAAGTAAATATAACGATGGAACACCAGAAATTCATGCATCTTCTATTGGAATGGCTAAATCTGCATTAGAAGCAATTAATGGATGCAATTTGTTTGGTGAAAAAGGTGCCTCATGGAGTGTAATTTATGTCGATATTGATGCTCACTCACGAAATCGAAGTATCTTTGAAACACTTTTACCTCGAGAGTCAAGTTCTAAAAATACTGATGCAAGTTTAATTGCAACAATTAGTTGGCCATGTTTTGCAACACATGATCAACTACTTTACTCTAATACAAAGAAGAAAATTTTGAAAAAATTGAAAGGACATTATGGATTAAAGAGATTTCTTCGTGATGGATATGGTACAGTCTTTGAAGGAAAAGGTTAGTCCCAATAAAACTGACACAATTTACCTTTTCCCCCTCCTCGTATATGCAAATATTTATCTAATTTCTCTGATTTTTTTATATATATATAGACAGGACGAGGCTATACCGACCTGGCGAAACTCAACAATACGAAAATATCGAATGTGAATGGCCTGTGATGATTTGTTTCCTTATAATTGATGGTTTATTTGCTAATAATATTGAACAAGTTAACGAATATACTCAAATGTTAATGGATAAAATTGTTCATCGTGATCCTATTTTTGGTGATTACCTGATACCTAAATATTTTTATACTCCTCCTGAGTATATTGATGCGGAAAAAGTTGAACCCAATTCGATGCCAAAAATTGCTAGTCAAGAAGGAAGTGATTACAGTAGCCTTTTTCTAATGGGTCAAGCGCTTTTCATCATCACACAATTAATTTCTTCTGGCCTTTTACATATAAATGAACTTGACCCCATCCGAAGGTACATGCCGAGCTACAGTAGACCCAAAAAAACGGGAAGATACTCAGCGTTTCAGGTCAGTTTTCAATGTTTCAACTTTTAATTCTAATTCACTATTTACAATTAACTTTCTTTTTCTAACTCCAATTTGAATAACACTTTTCTAATTGAACTCGAAATTTGATATGTTGATAATTAGTATTAATAGCATGATTAGTGTTACGAATTTTAATCAATCGGTTTGTTCAACTGCACGATTTTAAGTTTGAATATATCCATTAATAGCAAATGTTATGACAATTAATTGATCATGTTGATTTAATTTAAAATTGACTAACATTGACAATGATTTAATGAGATTATTTTTTTAGAATTGTTTGTTACTAATAGTTGATTGATTTTTGATTGCTCTCTAATATTAGTTTGATTTGTAACATTTTAAATAATCAATCATGAAGAGGAATTGAGATTTATGTAAAAATTACATTTAATTGTCTAAGAAAAATTAAGAATTTATTTTAATCAAGAAAGGTGAAATTTTCTCTCTCTGGTCTTTCCTTACGGCAAATTCAGCGTAAAGCTTTTGTAAGTCAAATTCAACTTTATGTTAATCATTATCTCTTATTTTACAATTAGTAGTAAATATTTTCCAATAGTTATATTTAATTTAGTTGATTGTACAAAGCAAATTAAACTCATCTAATTACTGTGTATTTCTTAATTCTTATATCTTATAGGGAACCGGGTGTGATATTGTTGTTCAAGTGGTTCTCATAGCTGAATCAATGAGATTACAAGCAATGATGGCAACATACGGAATTCAAACTCAAACTCCGCTCGAAGTTGAACCCGTTCAAATTTGGCCTCCCTCTCAACTAGTCCAAGTTTATGAGTTTTTAGGTGTTAATAAAAAATTGGGATTAAAAGGTCGTCCCAGTCGTCCTATTGGTGCATTAGGGACTAGTAAATTATATCGCATTTGTGGTCAAACCATTTTATGTTATCCATTAATTTTTGAGATATCAGATTTTTATCTATCCCATGATATGGCTCTTTTAATTGATGATATTAAAAATGATCTTCATTTTGTCGGAAAATATTGGCGGATGTCCGGTAGACCAACTGTTTGCCTGTTGATACGTGAAGAGCATCTTCGTGATGTCCATTTTCGTGAAATGTTGGACCTATTGGCACAATTTAAAAAGGGAATCCTTGACTCTTGTCTTAAAGTTAAAACTGGACGTTTACAAAATTTAATCAGTTCTTCTTGTATTGAGCATCTTGACTTTCTTCATTTGTTACCAAGCGATGCTCTTCCCAAACTTGAATCCTTCCGTCAATTGGAACACACTTATAACATTGGTTACCAATCACTAGCTGATATACCGAAAGCTTTGGCTTATAATGAACCAATGGATGTAAATATTAGGAAAACGTATGAAAATTTACCCACATGGCCCGATATCATGGAAGCATTGAAACATAGTGATACCCTTTATGCTCAAAGTCAATTACTTGGTATAATCTGGGAACGAGAAGGTCCTTATTTTTGTTTACACGATGGACACACAGTTAAGGATAAGTTGGAACGTTTAATGCGACAAGCTGGTGCTCTTCGACACTGGTCAGTGGTCAGATATTGTTCATCTGTATTGAAGAAATTAGTTGATTCTATTTCACCTTATATCACTGCGATTCTAGTCAATGGTAAACAAATTACTATTGGTTCATTTGGTGGACCAGAACAGATAATTGACCATCCATTAACACCCAAAGAGATTCATGCTCTTCTTTACTCAACCATCCAAGATCCATATGAAGCTGTTTTACAACAAGAGATAACACTTTACATTGGTCGTCTCATGTCCACTAATCCTCACCTTTTCCATGGAATTCTTAAAATAAGAATTGGTTCAGTAATCGAGGCAATCAAATTGTACCTTGATTTCAAAGGGGAGAAGCAAAATAAACTTGAAGCTCTTGCCCCAAGTCATTTAAGGAAAATATTATACCGATTGATGACCGATGAGAATCTATCCGTTCACGAGAAAAGACAAATCGACGGAGCTTTTTGTCGAGTCCCTCGAAGTTTCTACGATAAAATATGGGAAATTCTTAAACGCATACCTGGAGGCCTTATTATTTGTGGTGAACTATTACCATCCAATCCGACATTATCAGAGATGACACAACATGAACTCAATTTTGCTCTACTTGTTGAAAAACTTCTTGGAAAAATATCAACACCAGAATATCGTCAAATTTTTGTCGAGGTAAATTACTGAATACAAATTTTATTAAGGATAATTGTTAACAACTTTCTCTTCATTTTTTCAGGTTATAATAGTTTTGTACATTGTCCTCGAAAGAAATCCTGAAATTTGTCTAAATTCAAAAGTATTTTTAGACATTGACAAGGTAAGATAGACACAATTATCGATTTATTTTGCGACTGATTAATTTTCTATTGTCTTGTTTTCCAGATCATTTCTGAATCCGTTCAAAAGTACAAAGAAACTGGTGAAAAAAGTCTCGAGGACTTTTACGCTGAAGAGCGATCAGTAACCTCTTCTTACTTTGCTCGAACGATATTGGACATTTTACTTAAAGTATCATCATCTCAATGCAACGTTAATTGAATACAAACCCACCAATTAAACAAGTTCCGTGGACATAATTATTATCGCCATAATTACAATCAAATAATGATAATTATCACCCTTGCAATATCCCATCCAAGTTTTTCCGTAATCTTAATTTAATCTTAAGTTCAATTAGTTAACTAATTTGCACATTTCCCCACCTTCCTTTTGATTGTCCTCCTTTTTTTGAGTCGTTTTATTTGCTCTGTTCGCAATTTAATTATTGTATTACATAAATAAGAGTTGATTATCATTTTAACGTTTACCTGTACAATTAAAATTAATAATAAATTTAGTGAATTTATTGAAATGATTTATTTTGTATCAATGGACAAAAGTAGAAAATCAATTTTTCGCTGTTAAAATTTTCAATTCTTTCACAAAATATAAAATTCAACAAAATAATCAACTAATTGTTGGTCAAAAGATCTTGTCTGTAGATTGGAAGCAAAAATGAAAATCATATTTTCTATTATAATAGATTACAAAGTGACTTCAAAGATGGATGAAGATTATTAAGATTATGTTATGAGAGAAATGAAATTATCACAAAGAAGTTAATTGAACCAATTAAAATGAGAATGTTAATGATCCTCGAGGATCGAGAAGATGATGGAACTTTTGTTCGTGAAAACGAGTCACTAGAACTTTTATCATCTCTGTTCAAGGTCAATGCAAGAAGAGAATTAAAAGTAACCAAAGAAACCAAAGTGTTATAATCATTTCGAAAAAGTAGAAGAATGAAAAATAGAAAATGAAAAGAAGAGAAGAGAATAAAAGAGAGAGAGAGAAATGTAAGTCAGCCGGATTAACAGAGAGAAAGAGAGAGAAGTAAAGGGAAGAGGGGGTAGAAGAGGATGTAACAGCATTACACTGAAATCGAGGTAATAGTAGGAGAGAAAGAGAGAAGAGGATGAAGATGAAGATGAGGAAGACAAGTCATCCTTTAGCTCGTATCTTTGTGTATTGAGAACGGAGGTACAGAGGATGCTCGATGAGGGGACTAGTCTCTTCTCTGTCTATTTACTTTCTTCCTCTTTCTTTAGGTTCTCTTAGAACTGGAGGAGTTTTTTTCTCTTTTCGGGTAATGATGATATTCATATATAGAGAGAAAGAGAAAAAGAAAGACAGGGAATGAAGATGATATAGACAGGGAGGGAAAGAAAGAGAAATAAGAGTAAGAGAGTAAGAGAGTAAGAGAAAAGCCAAAATGGCGAGTTACATTGGGTTAACATAGGAATAGGAATAATATCTTGGTAAGAGAAGAGACTGATTTTTTATTCGTAACTTTTTTCTCTTTCTTTTCTTTCTTTCTTTTTATTTTCTCTTTCATATACACGAACTGTCTCTTTCTTTTTTTCCTCTGTCTATTTTACTTTCTTTTTACTTTATGCTGGTTGTTTTTAATGCTAAAGATGAAGATGAAATTAAAATTAAATCTGTGGTCAATTAATCAATTTATCATCGATAAATAAACCAAATTTAATTTAAATTGTCTCTTTGATTGTAAATCTTTTTCTTTGTTTTCTCAGTGATTTACTCTTGGAGTGATAACTCCAACACTCCAACAACACAAATAACAACAACATCATAACAATAACAATAAGAACCAAAGGAAAACCAAGAAAGAGAGTAAACAAAAACCATCGACATTTCATCCGCTGATCATTTCCAATAATCATTTAATTAACCGATTAATTGATTGTCTCGAGTATCCCAATCGTCTTATTAATAACCAGTGGCGAGTGAAGGGCTGATGGTCAAGGGATTTCTTCGTATTCATCACGATATTTGAACTCGATTTCTTTTCCCTGTGTGTTGATGGTTGAGTTTCGAAAAGGATTCAGAAGAGAAACTATCGAAAACAACATTCGATGAGATAATAACAATCTCAAGGTTCGATCTGTTTTGGCCATTGATTAGTATTTGTCTCTCTTGTTCTCTCTCTCAAATTCTCCCATTTCAAACTCACTCTATTTCTTTTTCCTCCTCCTTCTTGTTTGTTCTTTTTTTCTCCCTGAATGAAAATTCGTAACTATTTCCTAATCGATTGTCGAATAGTAAACTCTCTCTTCCACAATAGTACCAGCCTACACTTCGATCCGTTTTCTTTTCTTCCTCTTCGATCGAATCAAATCTCTTACTTATTACTCTTTCTTTCTCCTTTTCCATGTTCTCCCCAAAATTATCTCCCTGTCACTTTTTCTCTCAATATATTATCTTCATTCTCATTATTCTCTTTTTCTCTCATAACTCTCTCTCTCTTTTCTTCTCATTCTTCTTGCTGATATTTTCCACTGATTGAATTATATCGACAGATAAGCTACAAGATACAAAGGTAACTTTGTTCTGATTGAGAAGAAACAATCAACTTTTCCCTGAGAATTTCAACTTTTTTTTCCAATACAACATTCGATTGGTTTTCCCTGGACTGAGAATTGTTTCAATTCTTCATCTCTAGTAGCAATTAAGAGAAAACACTTATCCATCGTCATCAAATTGGCTTTTAGAGAGAAAAAGAAGTTTAAAGAATAATTTATCTTTATCGTCGATATCATCATGGCAATGGAATACTGAAGGAAAGGAAAAGTCAAATAAAATCGAAAATAAGAGAAAAATAACAATCGAAATCAAGGAAAATTATCAAATAGAAATCGAAGCAAATAAAATAGAACGAAAACTTTATCCTCATCTGATTCTGGACAATGGACATGGAATTATCTTCAGATTCTCTAGGTGATGATGTTCTGCATGAAGATGATGTTTCTCTGTTCAATTCAACATCACCGATACCAGAATCGAGCGAATCATTAACATCTCTATCAGCAGTTGAACCGACAATTGATTCATGTGATCCAACAATGGACACCACAAGATCAGAACTCGTTGAATCATCCGACTCATCGGATTTACTGAGTATCACCAATCAACGACATGGTGATTACAATCAAAATCCAGAAGAAAATATAACAAGTATAGTTGAAAATGATGACGACGATGACAACAATCAAGAACCATGTATCCTACCCGAAGGTATGGTAATGGTAACACTATCAACAACCCAACCAATAATTCAATTATCACCAAGTATTGTTAAATCATTTACTCAAACAAATCATAAAGGAGAGACACAAAATATCAGCAATAATAATAATAATCATCTAATTAGTAGTGATAGTGGTAAAAGTAGCAGGAGTATCAGTTGTATTATCAGTAATACAAACAGTTATTCAAACACTTACAACGATAATGATAATGAGCAAGATGATGAAAACACTAATGATAAAGTTAATTGTGACAATAAGATGAAGCAAAATAACAATTTTGATTGTGTTAACAATGATGAGAATGTAAATGTTACAATTAAAGGGAGAAACAAGAATCAGGATGGCAGCAGTGTCGCTCCATTGATAACCACTGATAACAACAATTCTGATGAGGAAAATGTTGTTAGTGTTACTCAAGATATCCAAGGGATAACAACAACATTAACAACGACAAAAACAACAACAACATCTACGACTGATTGTTCATTACATTTATCATCTTTATCTTCATCTCCGTCATCATTAGTAACCAGAGGGGAGAAATCATCACCAATACTACCATCATCATCATCATCATCATCGTCTTCTTGTTCAATTGTTGTGACAACAAGTATAGAGGAGGAAGAAGTTGTTGTTGGTGGTGAAGAGAATCGAGAACAACAACAAGGAGAAGAAGGAGAAAATCGTGAAGGAGAAATTATTTTGCAAGAGGAATTAGTTGGAGAAGGCGGATTAGAGGATATTATTGGTGAAGAAGAAGTTATCACAACAGAAACGGTAAACAACTTCAGTGAGTCTGGGCCACAAAGGATCTCGGTTGTCAACAGCAACTTACAACACAGTATCAGTGGCGATTGTATCAGTTCAATATCAACATCACAGGGAATCACATCCACATTAACCGGAGGTGTTATTACCAATACATCAAGTTTACCTCTTTCGACAACTGTACTCGTTTTACCGGTCAACTCTGTTGTTCAGCGAAATCATCATCATCATCATCAACAGCAACAACATTCACACCTTAAATCGTCACCTGGTTCACTTAATCATCAGCTTAACCTTTCTCATCAACAACATTTAGGTGATTCTATTGTTATTGTTGATCCTATTGATTGTTCTGTTGATTCTGTTTTAGAGCCACCGGAATTGTTACCTGCCCATGAGATTGTCTCTGAAATAGCAGCGGTTGCCGCTGCTGCTGGTGGCTCATTGTCATCAACTAGTGAATTAGTTGAAGTAAAATCTTCATCAACCTTATCCTTAACTAGTACTACAACTACAACAGCCTTAAGTAATCAGGTTACAAGTGAAAGTGTTGGTTTAATTGTTGGTGAAACTGATGAGACAAGGAAATTGGTCAATGTTGATGAAAATAATGTTCTCGTTGACCCAATCGTTAGCGTGACCAGTGTTGGTCAAACTGATTCTCATTTAAATCTTCTAACTGATACTGTTACCTCTTCACCTAATTCACCTTCGACTGATTTATTAACGGGTCTTGATTTAGTTGAAGAAGAGCAAGTTAATGAAGAAATTGTTGGCCATATAAGTGAAGAAGGTGATATTTGTGACTCTTCTGTGGTTGTCAGTGTTGTTCCTACTTCGGTTTTAGATCAAGTTGAATTAATTGTAGAACGTGAAGATTTAGAGGAGGAGGAAGAAGAAGAAGAAGAAGAAGAAGAAGAGAGGAAGACGAAGACGAAGAGGACGAAAGTGGTGTTACCGTTGAACTTGATTCCACAGAGATCGATTCAGTTGTGATTGATTGTTCTCGATCAACGGAACTAAATTCAATTGCTACAACATCTTCACTTTCTAAACCTTCAATTTCAGGTTCAGTGTCTTTGAAGCGTCGAGGTAAAAGTAATAATAACATTAAGACAGAAAATACAAGTACACGAGGAAAGAAAAGCCGATTAACGGTAACATCGACTGCAAGGAATAGTGGAACTACAACTACTCGTGCGACTAAACATCGACGTTTATCATCACCGCCCTCGTCATCAACTTCATCATCGCCAATTGTTGACGAACAAGCAAATAGTAATACAAGTGAAACCACCGGTGATAATCCGAGGATGATTGATGCAACCGATTTTCGTAATGTCCTCAACACTGAGCCCACCTATCAGACTCTGAATGGGCGGATGACACCGCCAGGATTTCCCACCTCATCCTCAAGCTATGCCACTTTAACACCCTTGCAACCTTTACCACCCATTTCCACCATGTCTGATAAGTTCAGTCACTATGGTCATCATCATGGAAATGGTGGTTTCTCACTGATGCAAAATGTTACCAGTTCAGGCCTTGGGATGGGTTCAATGGGTTCCAATTCAGTTTATTCATCTCAATATGATAAGATGGTCGCTGTTGCCGCTGCAGGAATGACAATGTCCCCGTTGACCCATTCACAACAATCATCACCATCAGGAAGTCCAATGGGTGTAAACAATAATGCAGCTTCTCAGCAGCAACATCACCACCAACATCAACATCAACATCAACACCATCAACAGCACCTCCAGCAGCAGCAACACCACCATCATCATCAACAACAACAACAACAACAACACCATCATCCTAATCATGTAGCCGCTGCAGCAGCCATGATGACTTCAAGTACATCAAACGGTTTGTCTGGATCTTCACCTCCTGGAGGTTCAACAGCAGGATCATCATCAACATCCCATCATCCTCATCATTCTAGTCATCAAACACTTCATTTAGCATCTTCTCCATCCTCTTACCATTCCAATGGACTCGCATCACCCACCGAGAAAAGCCTCTCACCCACCAATGGTTATGATTATTCCACTCTACCGAGGTTTAGGATCACCTTCAAGTCCTTCCTCTGTAAATTTACACTCACCCAACTCACTGTTACCCTCTTTAAACGGACTTCCCTCCAGTCCACCACCTTCATCAACAAGTCACCATCATTCAGCTCAAATGACACCACCATCACCAAGCCATCATCACCACCACCAGCAACATCATCACCAACAACAACAACAACACCATCAGGCTGCTGTTGCAGCAGCCGCAGCCGCAGCTCTTTCCAGTGCCCAGCATCTCACTCTAGCCGGTATTCCGGTTACATCATCTCCAATTAATCATCATCATCATCACCACCATCATCAATTAACATCAACAATTGTCTCAACTCCATTGGCTATTGTTGCAACAGCAAATTCCCTCCGATCGGTAAGTTAATCAACTTTTATTGTTAATCTTTTGTTTTAAGTTTTCATTTATCATTGATAATCAATGTTACCTTTTGATTTACAAAAAAAAAACCTTTGATTCCTAATCAATGAAATTGCTTTTGATTACCATTTGGTTTAACAATTTGTTGTGACACCTTTTTAATTTGTGTGTTTATCAATACAAATCATTTATCTTCCTGTGTCCAATCATCCTGCATCATTTAAATATGAAATTGAGATGAAACCGTTTAAATTGCATCTCTATCCAAACTTTTTGCTCTTAATTGTTGTATTATAATTGTTGGTGTATGTCAATTGTCATCAACATAACTGCAAAAAAAGTGAATGTATGATGACTATTAACAAATTGTATGTGATCACATTTTTGATACTCATAATGTAACTTAATGAATGATTCATTCTAATGGTCACTCCACTATCATTATCAACATGATGATTATCATTTTTTAGGCATCAGTAACTCCCATCCCAGCGGCAATTGTACCAACTGGTCATCCAGTTACAATTGTCCAGGCTTCATCATCATCCCAAGAATCGGTTGCTAATAGTGATCTTGGATCGGCTTGTGTCCCTGAACCCGTCGCTCTTTTATCAACAGTAAATGCAATTCAATCGGTAAGTATTCCCCCACCAACCATACTGATTACTATCATCATTTGATAATAAGCAAAAAGGATGAAGATGAAAGATGATGAAAATAACAATTTGTTAATCCAAAATCAAAAGCATTTTCTAATTGCAAAAGGGAATCAAACAGACTAGATTTCTAATTAGATTACTTGTTAATTGCTCGTTAATCACAACAAACTTTCACTTTTCTCTCAATTTTCTGGAAACTTTGTATATTAGGCTGAAGAGAAAACTGTTATCCAACATCATCCAGGTAATTCTATTTCCGGTTCTGTACAGATTAATGTTTCACCGGTTTTAATAACATCCGGAAGTAAACGTTCATCAAGTTTAACAATAAGCTCAAAGATTGACAATAACCATGGAACTGTAATAACACCTTCATCAGGAGGAGGTTCAGTCTCAACCACCTCATCAACACCATCCTCTTCATCCTCAACCTCATCCTCAAACAACAACAACAATCATACGAATGCCAGTTCTACAAATAATAGTAATAACAACAACACCAATAATAACAGTAATAACAATTCAAATAGTAATAATGATAATTCAACTGCAAATAATTCATCTTCAAATAATCTTCTCAATCTTCAACTTCAACAACCCGGTTCAGTGGCCAGTTCATCGGATGAGATTGAAGAGATTAATACAAAAGAACTTGCTCAAAGGATAAGTGCAGAGCTTAAAAGGTATTCAATACCTCAGGCCATTTTCGCCCAACGGGTACTTTGCCGATCCCAGGGAACACTGTCTGATCTATTGAGGAATCCTAAACCTTGGAGTAAACTTAAATCAGGAAGAGAAACTTTTCGTCGAATGTACAAATGGCTGGAAGAACCAGAATTTAGTCGTATGTCATCACTTCGACTTGCAGGTAAATTTTAATCTAATTTCAAATATGATAACATTCAGATCACATTGAAGGTCAACATTTCCGTTCTCAATGATTAACTTTCTCTGTATTTCATCATCAAATATTCATAACGATTATAAATTAGTGATCAATTATAATATTTGATGATAATGTTAATATACATGAATGCCAAATGAATTTTCAAGATGAAAACAATCAAAGCAAATCATTTGTATTAATAGTTAAATTGCTGATTCTCTGGTGACTATTGAGTAAATTAAATTACCTTGAATCAACTATTATTATTTCAATGACGATGATGGTTATTGAATATCAATCCTCATCCATGCAGAACGAGCATATTATCATCAATAGATTATGTATTATAAATGTTGACAAGAACATGATGATAATTAATTGTTGTGATAATCGTTGGCTGAAATTGATAAAACTCCCAGAACGAGATTCAGAATGAAAATTCACAATTTAAGGCCTAAAACTGTGATGATTTGATCTATACTTTGAATGATACAATTTTCATTAATAATTATGATTCCCCTTGCAATCAACCTCACTCCCTGTAAATATTATCACGATAATCAACCAGAAAATTATGAAAAAAACATTACCTTAATGATAGTAAACTGAATTAACAAAAATAATCAACAACAATCGAGATACAATTAAACTTTGTAATCGGCCTAAAAAAAGATTTCAGAATTTGTTGTTTTTAATGAAGATATTAATTTAGATTTATTGATTAAATTTAGTTAGTATTGTAATCGTAACAATTAATGATAGAAAATTGTTTCTGTTGTTTGATTTTCACAATTGATGACAATTTTTTTCATTCAGATAATTTTCTCATGATGCTGAATAAGTTTATCCAATTTTGATTGAATTTTCATTCTAGATTCTTGATCAACTGATATTTTAAGATGATTTTGATTAGATGATTAATTCTGATCCTTGTTTATTTGACTTTTGTTAACTATGAGATGAATGTTAATCATTTGGGTTGATAATTTATCGTTTTGAGTGCACACTCATTATGATTTGATGATTAAGACACGAGATTTGATATTATGTTGATGAAATGATGAACATTTTTGTCTAATTTTACATTTTATCTTGAAGCTAGAGAGTGGATGGTGAGATTATCATTTCTTCACAAAGAAAACTAGTATATTACAAACCGAATAGCAAATTTAGCCTCAGGGTCCAATTAAATGGTATATATGTGTACCATTTTATCAAATGAACTTGGATGAGGATAAAGATGAGGATATTTGCTCTGATATTTTTGTTATTCTCGAAATGAATTCAAGTCTTGCATTTGGTCAGTTTGCACTTAAATTTGATTTCCATCCAATGATTGACCATTGAATAGAAATCAAATCAGAGTTAATTGTGACAAAGTTTTCATTTCTCATTTGTTATTGTTACACATATTGTCCAATAATAATAAATAGTTTTACTTTTCCAATTCACAATTAAAGGTTATTTTGATTGTGGACATTTAATTAGGCTTATAAACATCATCATTAAGTTGATTGTTAAAAGTTTTGAATGAAGTTAAATTCAATTTTTAAATTGTTAATATTAATAGTTTATAATGATGAATATGCTGTAAGGTAAATAAGTTTTAGTAACAATCAAATAAGTATTTCAATGATGATGAAGATGTATATTGCTAAATTGCCTTCAGGGTATAAACATGAATCTTTTTGATGAACTTTTTTTTTCTTTCACTGGTTAACCTGAACAAGACAATCAACTTTCATCATATTGAGACAATTAGCTTAATTTAAATTATACAATTTAAATTGGCCAATTTGACTACCATAGTAATAATTAAACTGACCCCTAATCAACTAATAAATTAGTCAGAAAATAGAATCAATTAATTAAATTAAAAATTTATGTTAGTTTAACTCACTGATTACTTTTAATTGTAAAACATAACCTTCATCAAATTGTCACCAACTTTTCCGGTTTACTTTCAATGGGAAAAGCCAAATTTTTACCTTTTGATTGTAGCAATTAAACTTTGTTGATTATTAGGACCTTTGAAAGGGAAAATAGATTATCACAAAGCTGAATCTCAGAATTGTAATAATTATCATGGAAAAAATAATGATTGTATTCACATCAACTCTTTCATCTCTCTCTCTCTCTCTCTCTCTCTCTTACCTGTGTGACTTTTATTGTTGTGTTGATAATATTTGGTTTCCAATGGTTTCCATTGTAAATTACTTGGTTTCAATTGGTAACTAAAAGGAAATGAAGGTAAAAGAGAGGAAGAAAAAAATACGAAAAATCGACAGAGTAAAAAGACAGAGAAAACTAAATTCTATTCTATTGTACAATGTTGATAGTAGGAGATGATGATTATTCTTAATACATGATAAACTCAAATAATAACAATAGTAATCATATAATTCATTTAAACATATAAAATATAATGATTGGTAAAAATAGTAATCAAGGTAAAGAAAATTACTCAATGTCAACCCAAAGAGAAGTCAATTGTTAGCTTACAATTACCACCTCGATAACTTTCATTAACTTTTTCCGTCTCCCACTAATTTTAATCATCATCTTAATTTCACCAAGTACATGAATTAACTTTTCTTTGCATAGAAACGCATTTTAGTTTGTTATTATTACCATGCTAATGTTTACCAATGGACAATTGATAATGATAATGATGTTAATGATGATCATCATCGGTGTTTGTATGCATTACAAGTATTCATGATAATCATTATTATCATTACATATTCATATTTTTTTGTCCAGAATTGTTCATTTCTTGATATTTATTTCTCCATGTTAATGATAAACCCTAAGAGGGAGTGAAGACTTGGAGTGGGATGAAGATGATGATCATCTTATATATACATTTATGTATATACTGGGAGTGGTAACCATACAAAACAATATGATTACGATGATAACAAATAGTTAATATTAAAGTTACTACGGAAAAACAGAGATGATTTTACCTTGTAAAATGATTAATGATTAAATCAAATGAAATCTTGATTTAGACTTTAATTCAGCTGCTCTTTTCCTATCTCTTAGCATTTTCCATGTTAATTCATTGAGTATTATCATTACCATTATCATCATTGTCATAATTATCATTATTTTAACATGATGATTATGATAATTAATACTCTGTGTTGTTATTATTACAGTAATTAACTTTTCCCTTATTGGAAAATTATTTGTTTCGTAATGAATGAACTTGAAATAAGATATTACAGAGATTTAAGTAATTGAAATTATTCAGTTCAGTTGAACTTTGGTGTGATGATATAAATCTGATTGAGTGGCTAAGAAAATGAATGGTAATGACAATGATTATAATGATATTCAGACTTTATCCATTTCCTTCATGATGGTGAAAATCAATGTGATATCTTTTTCCCTCATCCATGAAAATTGTGATACATTTGAGATACATTACTGAATAGATTGATGATGATGATGATGATGATGATGATGATGATAATGTTGAAAAAGTCACGTGGTTAACATTTTATGTCTGGTTTAGCTGACCTTGAATTTGATGATCAGATTCATGATGATGATCTATGTAGTATTGGATGATAAAGGAGGGTAAGAAAGGGAGTTCTAAAAACTGATGAATGAATGAGTAGAGAGAGGGAGTAAAAAGTTCTGAATGTATGTGAGTATTTTTTGTGTGCATTTATGAAAATATAGGTGAGAGAGAGAGAGAGAGAGGGAGTATATTCACCTGAGCTGAAAAGTAAGGTGATGGTTAGTCTGATGATGATGGTCGATAGGGATCGATGTGGTTTGGTAATCGATATGAAAAAAGGTTTATCCATGAATCTACAGTATCTCATTCACCATTTCTCAGGGAAATCCCTTCTTTAAATTCATTCACATTCACATTCACACACACACACATCAATACACATTTATCATCATCACATCATCTCTCCCTCATCAACAGCTGATGATAAAAAAAATAAGTAACATTGTTTATATTACCAAAACTCCATGTGACTTTTTTTCATCATCATCATATTGATTCATAGTAGCAATTTTTTTCTTGTTTATCTTATTGATTAACCAATAATTTCACCATGTAAGATATTCATTTATTGAGATGAATAAATATCTATTGAATGTTAGAATGTGTATTCCATTGAATAATCAAAGTAGATTCATGATGATTTATCTTCCCTCCTCCTCCTCTCTCTCTCTCTCTTGTAACTAATCAATCAAAAAACAAAGTTATTTGATTAATTATCTTTTTAAATTGTGCATCAAATTAAGTAACAGTAAACAAAAGGAAAAAGTTAAATAGTAAATTATGATTATCATTTTGCCCTAGAAAACTTTTCGACCTGAAATGTTAATCTTTTGTACCATAATCTTGAATCACATTAAGAGGTTTATCCTCCCACCCTCATCCACTCCTTCAATCTACCACCTTCTTGATCATCATCCTTACAGAAGCCTTTGCAATAATGATGAGGATAATGAAGATAAACAATGTCACTAGACGATTTGTCATTGAATTAAACCTTGGGAGTTTCAAATCCAATTCCATCACTTTTTCAAATCTCTTGATTATCAATTGTATCTCATGAAACTAATTTAATTCATCACCGAAACAATCAACTTTGATACATTTTTTTTTGTTCTAATCATAATTTAAGTTACCAAAGTAAAGGGTTAATTATGATTACTATTGAAATGATCATGATTGTTGTTTCATGATATAAGTTTTCATCTTTATGTATCTCATGAATACTCACAATTCATTGTCATCTTTTCCTCATCTTAGATGAAAATTTTTTCTTATTCTCTCTTTCGTTTGATCATCATAATTTAGTTGCTGCTTTTTTTCAAAAATTAATACAATTTAATTCAATTGTAGTAGTTAGTTAATTGAACTAGTTTCCTGTCAATTTTGACTCCCACTTTATTATTATGGTTATCATTGTTATCTTCATCATCATCACTATTTTCATTAACTC